GGGAAATGTCAGGGAATGTTAATAAGTCCGGGGAATGTCAGGGAATTTTAAAAAGTCCGAGAAATGTCAGGGAATTTTAAAAATTCCGGGAAATGTCAGGGAATTTTAAAAAGTCCGAGAAATGTCTGGGAATTTTAAAAAGTCCGGGAAATGTCAGGGAATTTTAAAAAGTCCGGGAAATGTCAGGGAATGTTAATAAGTCCGGGGAATGTCAGGGAATTTTAAAAAGTCCGGGAAATGTCAGGGAATTTTAAAAAGTCCGAGAAATGTCAGGGAATTTTAAAAATTCCGAGAAATGTCAGGGAATTTTAAAACGTCCGGGAAATGTCAGAGAATTTTAAAAAGTCCGGGATGTGTCAGGGAATTTTAAATAGTCCGGGTAATGTCAGGGAAAACTCCTTGAGTCATCTTTATTTATTTTTTTCCTTTTAATACATGAAAGCCGCAAGGCTATCGTATCGTCAAGCCACAGAAAGGACGAAAACGAAAATTTTACATTTCAGCTAAGTACTTATCATTTTATTTGCTTTCTAGAAGAGGTTTGGCGTTTAGAACAACAAATTTGCCTGAAAACTTTTTCCTAGTATGTCTTTTTCACCATCAACTGAACCGAAATGTCCGTCGAATTTTTCCTAAAATGTGTCAGAGAAATCAGGGAAATGTCAGGAAATTTCATCTTGTAAATTCTATGGCAACCATAAATTGCTCGTGACGGTGTCCACCAAGACTGGAGTGCGTACCATGGTTTGTTCCGCATTAGTTTCATCCGTGTTTCACGCCAAGCAACCGGTGCAAATCAAAGGCAAGGCGCGAATCTATATTTCCCCATCTTGAAGCCGTGGTAAAGGATTGAGCGTTAAGGTACTCGTTGTGAACACCCTGTTTATCGACCCCTTACCATGACAGATCAATCGATGTATCGCAAAGCACGCTACGCCACTAGTGCAAATGAGTGTATCACTGAATGACGCCCTCAAGGTGGAAAGAACCGTGGGATGCACCATCTCGGTGGATGTCATCGTGCGTATTTCTGCGAGCGATATTTCCGTTAATATTGGACATAAAAACATGGCGCAAGGTCGGATCTTATTATTTTTTGTTATTCTAAAAGCTTAACAGAGAGAGAGAGAGAGAGAGAGAGGGGGGGGGGGGGNGAGGGAGGGAGAGAGAGAGAGTCAGAATGTCAGGGAACTCGTGCGAAAAGAAGGAGAATTTCTTGAGTTTTTCATTGTGGTAGCTCATGACTGGTCGCCCTAACAAAAAATCACTCATGTTGGTCCCCTTCGCACAACAGTTTCGTTTTTCTGTTCATACGCAGGCGTTCCCTTTTAGCTTGCCGTGCAGTAAAAACTGGGTTTTTGCGAGAAACTTTCTTTAATTAAACCCATGATTAACCTTGAGCAATATCCAGAAACAAAGCAACGGTGAAACTATCAGACCACGTTTGCGACGTTGCAGACTTCCTGTCATATTTTATTTTTGGATGGAAAATTACTCAACGTCAATTCTTGAAAACTTCCGTGATTTCGTGAAGAAAAAGCTGTGAAAACCTCAAAGAGTGATATTGGTTTCTTCTCCTTCACAAACATAAAATGGGAGCGCGCGGGGATTTTTAAACATCGCAAACGAGATACGTAGTCTGGTAGTTTCACTAAGTCACCGTATAAACTGCGGTCAAACGACAACCAATACGATAATAAACAAAAATAAACTCGAAACTACGATAATTTATTTTATGAATACTATTCTTGGTGTATTATAACAAATACTTAGTATTTTTACCCAAAGAAAAAACTATTTTGAATTTTGATCCAGCGGAGAATATTCCGGATGAATTAAAGTATTGTCCTAATAGAATTTTTTACACGATCTGACAAACGTAGGGCACGAAGTAACATCAATAATCATCTACGAGGTGACGATCGCCTTGCCCGTCTATAAAACGCCTTCAATCGGTGAACAGGCAATTTTACCTACTCAGACGTTCGTTAAGTTGCAGTCAGTCATTCAGCTGATGTTGATAGAGAAGCTTCAATCGTGGGATTACCTTACATTTTACCATCGACGGTGAAACTACCAGACCACGTATCTCGTTTGCGGTGTTTAAAAATCTCCACTCACATTTTATTTCTTTGAAGGAGATCAAATCAATATCATTCCTTACAATTTTAACGGATTTTTCTCCGCTTAAAGAGGAAAAATCATGGAAGTTTTCACGAATTGACGTTGAGTCGTTTTCTATTTAAAAAATAAAGTATGACAGGAAGTCTGCGACGTCGCAAACCGAGATACGTGGTTTGGTAGTTTCATCGTCGCCATGCTCGAGAGCACGCAAATAAGATTTCAGTCCTTCATTGTCATTATAACTAATTTCTTTTACAGTTTAGTCTTCGTTTGTTTAACTCTCTGCCGAAGATTTCTTCGATCAGTATTTTGTTCTCCTCTCCATAACGGAAGGGCCGAGGCCTTTGGAATCCTTGTAAAATTTGATGGGTTTTTGACGCTATTCAAGCGCTGCTCACTCCGGATGAAGGGATTTTATTTTTGGCCAGTGGGATTCCGTTTGCTGCCAAGCGTGCGCCGTTGCCATAGCCGTTGCGACACTCCCCCGAAGCAAATGCCAGCCCGAGCGTCAAGCGTCAGGCAACTTTGTTGCAATCCTAATTTTTCATTTTCCCGACCTTCAAACAGCTCCTTATCTGTTATCTCGAGCCCCTTCCCCCTCTCCCCCTCTCCTCCCTCGCTTCGTCGCATCCAGTTTCCAGAGCCAATCCAGGGTTGTCAACTCGTGACCGAATCCCTTTCCATTGACTTAGTAAAATAGACTCATTTCTAAAGCAGAGATGCAAGGGTCAGAGAAAATCGGGATCAAAAATTACGAAAAATTACGGAATTCTTTATTAGAAGTTGTGCAGAGGAAGCTTCCACTACAGCTAGAGAATATACATTCTCTAAAATATCGGGGGATTTTGGCTTTGAAGTACGTAACCAGGATTTCTTCTTTTTTTTTTTTTTTTAACCGAAGAAAACTATATAATTTCGACGCGCATTTTCAAGGACTTACGGTCAAACCTGGAAAATTTGGGGCATTTAGATTTTCTTTTTTTTAGACTCTAAACTGTAAAAAGGTACCCTATAGCGCCGAAAAATCTTAAAAATCGAAATGTTGGTACCATCACGTGGAGGCGCTTTAAAATTGTCGGCTCAAAAAACCCCTCCTAAAGTGTCAAACTTAACCCAAAGAAGTCGAAAATAAAGGTATAGACCGGAAACGCAAATTTCGTTGTATATTCCATCATATTTTAAGTTTTAAGGTGCGTCTTTTGAAGGAGTATTCTCGAGGAAACGAATGAGACCTTTTTAAATTTTTATATTTCGTGTTAATCAATGAGGATAAAAGCTTTTAAAGTTTCCGCATCCTGTCCTATCTCTGTCATTGACTCGATTTACTGTGAGACGGTTTAAAGTTTGTTAATTTTTTTTTTTTTCCTTCCTTTTTTTAAAGTAATTTTAAGGAATATCTAATTACAGTTTTGATCTGAAATGTTCGAGGCTTTGAATTGTCCGATGGAGATGTAACTTCAATCCTTAACTCTACTAATTTTTGATGGTTTTCCCAGATTCCTTTTCGCCATTTTAAATTCCGTCAATTCTACGTCGTTCTATCATTTCCCGATCCATTCCTCGGGTATTATATAAGTTGACGTATTTATACCAAACGGAACTATTTATTGATGCATTAAATCAAAATAAAGTGTGTTCATAGGCTATGCGTGCCTCTTAGTTCCTTTTGATTTAATTCATTCGTAGATGATTTCATTTAGCATAAGTTTACCGTTTACGTTGCTTTGATTGATTGTGAGGTATCAAAGAGTGTTTGTTCCTGACGACGTGATCGGAAAGCTTATAGGTTGACCGGGGAAAATTCCGGAAAATCCGATGATTTCTTCTCTCCGTCTCGCGAAATCGAAGTGTTTTTTCCGGCGATCGGGCAACTTCGAGCTCACAATGAATAAAACGCAGTACGGATGAAGTTTTTCTCTGACTCACGAGTCGACCGTGATCGACCTTTGGTGGCCTTTTATGTACGGACTCGATGGTTACGTCATTCGATGTATCGATCTCATTCCATCAAACTGTAATCGGCTCGTTTGAATCTTTCCGCTCATCTGAGGCGCGGCAAAATTCAAGCGGACCAATCAAACTTTAGGATGCGAGACCGGAGATCCAGGTTATGTTTTTTTTTTTTTTTGCTTAATTCGAAACCATCGGATTGACCAAATGTTGAAAAACGTAAAAGATGCGTTCTTGGTAGGTAAGAGGCCCCACCAGTGGGAAATTGGTGTACTTTTAATGGAGATGTTGCATGTGTGAGGAATTTGCGATTTGACCATTGATTCTTTTGTAAAAGTTCGCGAGAAACACGATGGTGCCACTGGTTTTTTTCTGAAATCAACTTCCAAGCTCAAAAAAAGCTCTCAAGTTGAGGCCAAAATGGAGGGGATATCCCACGCTATCCTGAGAGTCCACCTCTACATCAAGACAAACTCTCCATGCAAAGATAGGGACCAAATACATTAGCAGTGATGCCGTGTTTTCAGTTTTAGAGTCTCCAAATAAAGTGGCAGCCCTGTCAATGTATTTGCTCCCCATCTTTGCGTGGAGAGTTTGTCTTGATGTAGAGGGGGACTCTCAGGATAGCGTGGGATATTCCCTCCATTTTGGCCTCAACTTGAGAGTTTTTTTTGAACTTCGAAGTTAATTTCAGAGAAAACGAGTGGCACCATCGTGTTTCTCGCGCACTTTTACTGAAGGAGCAACAGTCAAATCGCAAATTTCTCACACTTGCAACATCTCCATTGCAAATTGGTTCATTGTCCTTGGTCCTGTTAACAATTATGCTTGATGAAATGTTATAATTTTCTTCGGTTTTTCCCCTCGTTCAGTGCAGTTGATGATTTATTCTAATTGACTGGTTTTTCTTTTTTTTGATTTTGCAGTTCGAGTCGGAAGATGCGGAATCTGGCAGAGAAAGCGCGGCGAGATAAGCTCAACAATTTGATAAATAAATTGGCAAATTTAGTTCCTATGGTTTCAGTCTCCTCAAAGAAGTTGGACAAAACCAGTATCCTCAGGCTCAGCGCCACCTTCATTCGCATGCATCAACGTAAGTCACATATACCCTTCAGAAAAAGAAGAAGATTCCGTGATCAGGCTGTCAACAAGTCCGGAAAGTCCGGAAATAGTACTGATTTTTTTAAGGGCGATCCGGCAGTACTGAAAAAGTGCGGAAGTCCCGAAAAAAGCTCCGGAATTTTTTTAATTTTTTGTCATTTTTGTCGCAATTTCAAATTTCGTCAAATGGAGGTACTGAAAAAGTACGGAATTTTTTTGACGGAGGAGGCACTGAATTTCTTGAGAATTTACTGAAAAAGTACTGTAAAAGTACTTATTTTCGACCAGCCTGTTTTAGTAGACACCCTGGTGATAATTGAATGCTTAATCGATCGATTTTTTCTGAGTCTAATTTTACTCTGTCGACGTTCCCAGAATCGATGTTTGTTGGGTAGGCGTCCTATTGATTGATTTTCAAACAATGGATTGTAACTTGATAAAATGCTGACATCTATTGGTAGATATAATTGAAGAGTTCTTTTGAATAACCGTGCACAGCAGAAATGACGAGCGTGAGAAAAACGCAAATGAAAGGTTCAGATGCGTGCAATTTTGACAAAAATAGATGAATTCTCAAAATTTAAAAACACTATTGAAGGGCACGCTCTCCTAGATCGATCGGCCCAAAGAAACATTGCTTAAAGTTACCACGCACCTTATAGCAGTGAAAGCTACATGTTCAGTCATACGTGGTTTTTACGGAGAACCACTTTCGCACCTCAAAAAAAGCACTTGGATCATTTTTTTTAGCTCAAAGTTGACTAGAAATACATGTTTTCACTAGGTAATTATTTAAGGAGAAAAAAAATAAAAAATAAAAAATAAAAAATTGTACCTAAAAAGAGTCAGACTTCCCCACACCACTGAAGTAATCTTTTATTGCACAAAAATGAGCTCGAGTGGTTTGTCACTGTCTTTTGAAATTTCTCTTTGTCAACATGACACTGCAATAGTCACAAGACGATTTAGAAAAAGACTGGCTTGACCTTGAACAAGATTATTGATCAGCAAAGAGAGAAGGAAAGATTTTGAGATTTTCTCCGCGTTTTTTTTTTTTTTTTTTTGTTCCGCATTTTGTATAATTTTCTCCTATGGATTTCTGGCTCCTACGTTACCTTTTAAAGTTTCTCCTCTTAGTGTCACTGTTGAAAGAAACGTCTATAAATATTGTAGATACAAATTTTTAAGAGCAGCCCAAGACAATGATAACAGTGGAAAAACAAGGATGAGAAAACAGGAAACAAGGCTAAAAAACACAATTTATGAAACCCGAGACGTTTCGACTCAAAACTGAGTCATTTTCAGTCGGAAACAATAAAAATTTAAAAGAAAAACGATAAAAAACCCGAGCCCTACATGGTGGGGTCCGGGATCTAAGAGAAAGAGAGAGAGAAAAAAAAACTTTCTTTTTTCTCTTTCTTTCAGTTCCGGCCGCTATCGTGTAGGGCTCAGGTTTTTAATCGTTTTTCTTTTAAATTTTTATTGTTTCCGACTGAAAATGATTCAATTTTGAATTGAAACGTCTCGGGTTTCACAAATTGTGTATTTTTAGCCTTGTTTCCCGTTTTTTCATCCTTGTTTTTCCACTGTAAATATTTTAGATGATCCTGATAAATTCCTAGGAATTATAAAAGCAGTGTTGCCGATTCGTGAAACAATGAGTCGTCACGCCGAAACCCGATTTCCCTATATAATTGTAGGAGGGGGTCTCCCCTAGTTTTTAGAAGAAATTAGTTACATCCATTTAATTTCCCAGTTGTATATCCATAGCTTCATGTTTAAGGTGGCCAGGTAAAATGCTGGAACTCACTCGGAACTTCCATCTGTTTTTTTTTCTTCTTCTTTTTTTTCTTTTTTTTTAGACAAGCTGTGTCCAATTTCCCGGAATTTTTTCCAGGGGGTTGAGGGTTGACCCATTTTGATATGGGTAAAAATACACGAAACAAGGAGAATAAAAAGAACAAGATCTAAAACTGTTCAAGTACCGGTGCACGTAGAGCATATCCTCCAACTCCCGCCTCCTATACTCGAAGTTGATATTGTTGGGGAAGTTTTTGATATCGTTGAAGCAAAACTTTGACCAGTAAAGATTATACACTCTCCAAATTTAGCTACATGGAAGTCTGTCCTTGTCAGAAACGGCGATCTTTCTCAGTTTTATTAATGTGATTTGATTCTACCGAGAAAAACCGCTCAAATTAACCTGTATCGTTTTTTTATTTATTTATTTATTTATTTATTTATTTATTTATTTATTTATTTATTTATTTATTTATTTATTTATTTATTTATTTATTTATTTATTTATTTATTTATTTATTTATTTGTTGCAGTGTTAAAAGAAGACACCGCTCTGTGTCATCAAACGCCACAGTTCTTCGATTCGATCAATTGGGCACAGATTGTGCTAGAGGTAAGCCAACAAGTTGTCGTTATTCAAAGTTTTCTCTTTCTCTCTTCTTTCTCCTTTTTCTGTCTCCCCTCCTCTTTAAAAGTCAGTCAGATTGGGACTCATATTATTTCTATTTGGGACTTCCTCAAAAATCGTCCTGAGGTCACCAAATCAGCACTGGAAAAAATTCTCTTGAATCCAGAGAGTCCAGACTCTTGAAGAAGTTGACAAGAAAAATACCCTCGGGTCAATTGGATTTTTGCTGGAATCAAAAGGAAATCCGTTTAAATTAAGGCTTGGCTCTTGATTCAAGCAAAATTCCGGGATTTGCTGTGGTCAACGAGATTGTTTGAAGCCTGCAGTTTTGTGTGTATGCAACACGGACACTCCCAAAGCACGAATAGTTGTATACCATGCGCCTTCAATAATTTTCCCCGCGCTTAATACGTGACATCAATGATATCTTATATGTCTGTGACCTTCTACCTTGTAAGTGACATCGCTAGTTTTTGGATGGACCAGACACCGTAAAATCTTGTCTTTTTAGCCGCCAAATAATTTGCAATTAAAACACATTATTCGGCAAAAATGCTTGAAACTAATATTCGCGCAAACCACGTGGAAATGTCACCGATAGAAATTTGTTGAGGAAACTTCATGCTCATACACTATTTTATCCACTGGTAGTGTATACCATGGTCTTCTCCAGCTTGAATGTATCAGATAGTGGAAGCACATTTTTGCACCGATCCAAGTTTGAAATTAACTCTTAGCTTCTCAATGTGCGTAAAACAGTCCCGTATTTTTTACGGAACAAACACTGGAAAAAACCACATTGAATTTCGAGTCCCAGACTCTTGAAAACGTTGAAAAAAAATACTCTTGATTCAATCAGATTTAAGCTTAAATCAAAAGGAAATCCGCTCAAATTAAGAGGCTTGGTCCTTGATTTAAGCAGAAATCCGATTGAATCAAGAATATTTTTTCTTGTCGATGTTTTTAAGAGTTTGGACTGTAAATCCAATGTGTTTTTTTTCCAGTGAAGAGTTGATTTGAGGAAAGAACTATTTGTTTCGAAGTGTTGCAATTTCATTTCTCAGAAACGTACCGAGTGTAGCTGCACATTTGGTTTGTTATAACTTACAGAACTTCAATTCAAACACTTCAATTCAAACAACTTTTTTTTCCTTTTCGCCCCTCTTCCTCGTGGTTTAGAATAATATGCAGTGCAGACGACAAACATTTTTACTCCAAGCATCATCAGTAATGGATAATTTTATTGTGCCAATATAGTAGGGGAGCAGTGGTGAAATTTCCCCCTCGAAATTTCTCCATCTTCAATTCAGCTATTACGCTGTTTTCTGTTCGATACGAACTAAATTTGACTGAGCAATCTATGCGTTAGTCTCTGAACGGAGCTAATGGTGATTTCAATTGTAATTTTTTCAGGACATCGCTGGCATGATGCTGATCGTGACCGCTGGTGGGAAGATCATTTTTGTGTCATCGGCAGTGGAGAAGATGCTCAATTATCCACAGGTGAGTCCCTTGCACATATTTTTGCTGACATTCGAAATGGATTCAGCCACGCGGCTTGTCGCCGAAGAAAACAGTAACTCCAGGAATAGAGTTTCCAGAGAATTGCCTTGGTGGGAAAATGTGGAAAAGTCCTTCAGTGGGAAATTTTATTCAATGGATTCTCTATTTTTCGTAAAATCATCAATAATCGCCGGAGACCCTTAGCAATTGTTAGGGTGAGAAAGAATCAGCGACCACCGACTATTAGAGAAGGACTCACGTATGTCCTATCAGGCAATTCAGCTGTTTGCGTTTCCCTCTCTGTTTGCATGATTGCGTTTTTGAATAATAATGAACGACATTTAAAATTAGAAGTTGGAAGAAAACATATCCCGGAAAATCGCTGACTACATCCGGGACTAGATCTTTTTAACTGGGAATCCTCCTCACTGCTCTGAGATCTGCTTTTCAAAGTTGGTGGTCTGCGTTTAAAGGGCTTTCAAGAATTAGACACAAGAAGAAAAAATTAATTTCTTCCTGGAACTCTGGAGATAAATCTGATTTCTCCCGCAGAGAATTTGAGGGAAAATGAAAAGAGACCTCGGATTTATACGAGGGAATTTTTCCATGGAAATTTTATAAAATAAGAGAATGGAAAAAATGAAGTACTTAAGACGCAACGCAAAAGATACCAATCAGGCACCGCTATATAGTGAGGTTTCCCGTAAAAAAAGAGTTCTAGGAATGAAAATTTCTTATGAGTTTAAGTAGCGCGCGTGTGGATTTCAATCTTGTTTTCTCGAGAAAGAAGTTTTCTACCGGGTTTTCTAACTTTGCTCCAACAGTGGAAATAGAAAGGTTAACAGAAAACATTGCGTCGTATAAAAGGAACTGTTTACGAACCTCGAGGAAAATTCTACAATTTAACTTGAAAAATAGATCCTTGCAATGTATTCACGTTTTACCCCTAGCGAAAGGTACAGAAGGAAGGATTCAATAAAGTTGACTGAACTTCACATCGGTGATCCATAACTTGCACTAAGGAACCACAAATTGATCTGCTAACGAATTTTTTCACGCTTTTTCTCAAAATGCGGTCGCCTCAAAGCGAACGGACCTCTCATTCTACCTCTAGAACTCATGTTTAATTTTATTAATTAACCTAATTATCTCTGGATGCTTATCAAGTGTAACCATTGTCGTAACATTTATTTTTCTGACAATAATGAACCTAAAAAACTATATTATTTTGCATATCATGGTCTCATTACCATAGGAAATATTTCGATGAATTGGACTACATTTTGCAATTAGAAACTTTAATTTCCAGCTCACCTCAGAAACAACGTATGTGACACGTGTTTCCATACGCAAATAAGTGATTTCACAAGGTCATAATATTATAGTTCCTGATTGCAAGATGTAGTAGGCCAGAATTGCCAAATTCCTTCTTAAAAATGATTATTTTGAGGAGAGCTGTGCTTATTTTCTCTTGAAATTTTCAGATCATTTAGATCAAAGTGCGCATAAACTCTTTGACAAAGTGACGGAAAAATATTTACAGGTTCTCCTGAAAATTCTTATTTACTGAAGGAAATTTGCCAACGTCTGAAGATTCATACGACGTTTACCCTTAGCACGGCAGCATGAGAGAGCGGCGCAGAAAAGAAACCAATGACCGATACTCTGCCGTGACAAGGAAAAACGCCGTATGAGCATTCGAGCGTTGCCAAATTGCCTCCGATAAACTGTTTAATTATTTTGAGGAAAGTTGTGAATATTTTCTTTGACATTTTTAGGCACTTTCGATCAACTCACAAACAAAATTATCTGATAAATTGGACGTATTTCTGTCAAACGGAACGAAGCGCCATAGGAGGAGGAAGATAGAAGGGGGCTTTGATTAGCGACGGAACCGGGCGTCGGGCTCATTCCATCCTATAGTCGCAATGCTTTTCCATGGCGTTTAGTTCCGTTTGACAGAACGCGCTATCCGGCATTCTAAATTCCTCAAAAGGAACTCAAACTGGCGCTTAGTTCCGTTCGACAGAAATACGTCCAATTGAAAAGAAAATATTCACAAATTTTCCTGAAAACGAGTGATTCGTCCACGGAAATTCGGCAACGCCCGAAGGCTCATACGGCCTTCTTCCTTAGCACGGCAGTAACTTTCCTGATATACATAGGTACTCTCCGTCGAAATCTTACGACCTCGGAAGATGTTCATTAGCCGATACCCGTGGAGGCGGCTCCGGGCGGATGGC